CGACGCACTCACCGACCCGGGCCGCTCCAGTCGCCGATTTCCCCCGGCAGCGTTCTCCCTCTTTGGATCTAGGTCTCTCCATAGACAGCTGCTCATGCGCAATCGCGGCCTGCGGCCATGTTGGTGAGGGGCGGAAGTGTCTCCTCGACCCGCCCTGCCTACCGACCGCCCCGGAACCGCCCCATTTCCGTTCGCTCCAGACTGGGATGCGCGCTAAAGCCGACGTGGGTTTGTGAGTTTTTAGAGGCCCCCAAGAGAAGCGCTGTCCTCGCGGACGTCGCTGGAGTTCTAGCTGTTTGCAGCAAGAACCAGAAACAACAACAACGACAACAAACAAACGACTAAATTTTACTTCCATCTTGGTGCTAGGCGGAGCCTTTTTAGTTCCGCTAAAAGGAAGTAGGGGCCATCTTTAACAAGGGCAATTTGGGAAGCCATCTTGGATCAGGGCATCATTTTGAGGGGTTTCCAGGTGGACACTGGGACATCTCTGGACATATGTAGATCTGGGTTTATTTATGCCTTTGTACTAGCGTCAGACCTCATGTCTTCCAGTTTTTCTGAGGCTCATATGTGACATTTTTGATTACCATTTTTTAATGGTTTTGGAATAGTGAAGTATAAATAGCTAGAATTCATCAGACCCTGATCTCAAATCCACAGCTGACACTTTTCTTGAGACAGGATCACTATGTGGTGTGGTTTTCTTTCTTTTCTTTCTTTTTTTTTTTTTTCAAGACAGGGTTTCTCTGTGGCTTTGGAGGCTGTTCTGGAACTAGCTCTTGTAGACCAGACTGGTCTCGAACTCACAGAGATCCGCCTGCCTCTGCCTCCCGAGTGCTGGGATTAAAGGCGTGTGCCACCACCGCCCGGCGTGGTGTGGTTCTTAACTATCTTATGTAGATCAGGCTGTCCCGGAAGTCACGTAGATTTGCCCCCCCCCAACACACACACAAATTACACACACACACACCCGATACAGCCTCTACCTCCTGAGTGCTAGGATTAAAGGACATGTGCCACCAAGCACCGGAAACTGTCACTTCCTAATTCTGAGATCTTTGATAAGCATTTTCACTTAATTACAGCTTAGTTTCCTCATCTGTAAAATGGAAATACTAATACCAACTTCACCAAAATAAGTGGATTAAATAAATTCAAGGGCAAAGTCTTTATGAACACCCCAATTCCTGGCATTGGATGAACATTATGTAAATACAGGTTTCTCTTCCCCATTTCTTGACCACCACAAGCCCAGTTCTACTTTCTAACTACAGGTTTCCGTGACAACTGAGGAAGAAACTCTAAACAAGATATATACATTTCGGCAGCATTCAAATGTGATACCTTTCCCCCCAAGACTTTAATAAGAGTAAGTTCATACACTTATTTAAGTGTAAAAACAATCAACTTTTATTATCAAACAGCTATCATTGCTAAATGGGGCCTATAGCCCCCACCTGTGCAGAGAAGCAGTGCCAGGACCAGAGTGATGACCACACATCCTCTTTTCTGAAATGGGAGGAGGTGGTTATTCTAATGGGAAAAAGAAAGACCAGAGAGGTCTGTACAGGACCTCTTCTGCAAATAAGTGAAGGCAGAGGATGTCATCCATTTCCTCCAGTGAATACTGAGGCCTTCACAGAGCTTCTTGGACATGTTTCTCCTAATGGAGCTAAAAGGGTCAGGAGACAGCCAAGGATCTGGGAGCAAATCAGGGGTGAGCAACTCTGTATCTAGCCCTGTATTCTCCATATCTACCCTAGGCTTCTATGAAGAGAAGTTCACAGCCTCAGAAGAGGGCAGGAGTTTGGCTGGAATTCCCCCTATGTATTTAAATTTAAGAAAAAAATAAGTTTCTACCTACCGTATGTTTCGTTAATAATCACAACTTCATGAGTAACAAGGCCTTCCTATATTTCTTAAGACTCTGCTAAGAGATAAGTGCTTTGTGTCTAACAGAAACTCAAGGTGAACCCACCAAGGCAGTGCCTCCATGGTCAAAACAGATAGCTGGAGGACCCAAGCCTTTGGAATGGGGCATTGCAGCTACTGAGGGTGTAAAGACAGCTAGGCAGGGGTTCCAGAGATTGATGATAATTTTCTGGTCCCTCTTGTCCCATCCTAATCACAGCCCTTCTTTCCCACGGTTAGTCTGTGTTTCAAATGCATATGTCTGACGCTGAGGGGACATAAGAGGGACAGGAAGCTGAAGTTCTCTAGGTGGCAAACTAAACCGACCCCTGGGCTCAGACCCTTCTGTGCCTTCAGGTGGGAGTTCCAGACAGCTAAGGGGCCGGGAAGAATGGGCAGGAGTCATGCTACAAGGAGAGGTTCTAGAGTTGAGGCTATAATCACCACCCCCAGTACAAGTCTGGGTCCGCCGAATTCCCTGAGCCTCAGTCCTCTGGCGTTCCCGGGCCAGGGCCACAGCAGCATCAAAGGAAAGACTACCCCCATTCCTCCAAGAAGCACGAGACCCCCAAGCCCTTTCTCCAGGAGTCCCGTCAAGCCTACCAGGTCTTGGACATGGGCTTGCAGGTGCTACATGGATCTTACTACACATTGCATTGGGCATCTTGGCAAACTGTGGTTTGGGGGGCACTACAGGAACAGAGCGGACCTGTTGGACCTGAATTAGGGTAGAAGCCAGACGCATGCCCACACCACCACTTGAACCACAGGGACAAGAATACAGGTCACATGCCTCTGGACTGAGCTGTTCCTCAGCCTCCATCCCCTCTGGCTCAGATGGCTGTGGAGGGCCTTGTTCCATCTGAGAAGACTGTTCATTGACTTCTTCTGTGCTGTCAACCTCCAGGAACTCTACACCTGGCCCTTCAGAGAAGGTCCCCTCTTCCAATTGGTCACCAACAGCTCTCTTGCCTTCAGTTCCTATATCTATACTTTTCTGTTCCTTGCTGACCTCCCCTTCCTCCCCATCTTCTTCTTCTGGGCTTCCACTAGCTCCACCATGTCCTCGGTCTTCTCTTGGCTTGTGGTCACTATTCTCATCCTTTTCGCCTTTCTCAGCCTCTCGTGTGTGCACAGCTTCCCAGCTCTCCCCACGAAGCAGGTTATCCTGGACTGAATGTTCTGGATCCATTCCAGATTCTACAGGGATGTCCTCTCCTTTCTCAGCTCCTTCCTTTCTCCCAATTTCGCTCTCCTTCTTGTCTTTATCCCCTTCTCCTCTTGTTTCCTCCATATCCTTAGCTCCTATACTTTCAACCTCTTGACCTTTGGCGTTTTCTTCCGTGGTCTCTATCTCTTCATCACCCCCTTCTTCAAAACCACCCATCACCTTTTGGCTTATTTCAGCCTCTCCTCCTCCCTCATCGGCCTTCCCAGCTTCCATCCCAGGCTCTGGAATTGCCTCTGCATCTTCCCGGTTATCTGATGTGCTTCCAGGCTCAGCCTCCTTGTTCTCTTCAGCTTCCCAGCATGCCTGTTTCTCTTCAGCCTGTATTGGAGGTTGTTTCTCACACCTTGCTGCCTCTTCCTGCAGACTCCCGGCACCCTCCCAGTTCATGGGTCTAGGTCCTAGAAGGGGACTCAGATCATCGTAGGCACTCAAGAAGATTTCTTCCCCATTGTCGTCTTCCGCTCCAGGTGTGGGGTCATCAAAATCAGGGGAACAGCAGCTAGGAGCCAGGACGTACTGTGCATCTTCCAGAGACAGATCATCCAGGGGTGGCTCCACAGAGAACTCTTCCACCTGCAGGCATAGCAACGGCTAAGGACCAGGCAGCCCCATCCACTCCCTAGGCTACACTCTACCCGCATACCCAGCATGGCTCCTCCTTACCTGAGGCCCATCTCCCAGGATCTCCTCCAGGTAGCCCATCCCAGGGTCGTCCTCCCCAAGGGAGAAAGCTGCTGCTCCTGCTGCTCCTGAAGCTCCTGCCTTGGCCACTTCCCTATCCTCTACCCCCACCCACTCAGGCTCTGAGCTGCTCAAGTCCTCTAGGAAGGAGAAGGAATCCTGCACCTCCTGGGACAAGGAGTCCTCCAGGGCAGGAGTCATGTCTTCTGGGCTTGAGTCAGCCAGGGGACCTGGGACTGATCTTGCCTCCGACTTCTCATCTGTTGAAGGAAAAGATGTTCCAGAAATCCAAAAGTCAAGGTCAGCCCCAACCCTTTCTGATATGGGTATTTCTCATAGTGATATGCTAGGGGCCCAACACTCCCAGTGTATAATAGTCACCCTGGTCTAAGAGGATGAGCCATATGGACTAACTACTTACAGATCTCTTTATTAATTCTTACTCAAGTGCCAAGCCTTGTGGGTTGTTTGTGAATTTCTTTGTTTTGCAGTGACTTTTTTTTTTTTCTTGTTGGTTTTTCCAGACATGGTTTCTCTGTGTTAACAGCTCTGGCTATCCTAGAACTAGCTCTGTAAACCAGGCTGGGATCAAACTCACAGAGATCCTTCTGCCTCTGCCTCCCACGTGCTG